GGGGGGGGGGGGGGGGATTTCCATCTAACTTGGGGCCTAGAAAAGTCTTAATCAGGCCCCAAGTAGGTAGGAATAATGTCTAGATATTTTCGATTGTTGGTGCGATATATTCGCGTAATAACAGCACAATATGCTGATAGTTTAAAGGTCGTCCAGAAAGTAAAGGTCACTTGCGCATAGTACTTGCGCAGGTCAACGAACTGCACCATTTTGAGGTTAATGGGCCTAAGTAGTCTTTTAGTAACAAGCCAAGCGTTTTTTTTTTTTTTTGTATTTAAAAGCGAATAACAACTCGATAACCCCCCGATTTGAAGTGAGAGCCGCAGTTCGGGTTCTGAACACACAAAATGTCTGTCCGATTGAAATTTACTGTCAACTTATTGTGGTGTAATGCTCCAGTCAAGTGCGAGAAAGTGGTGTCGAGTTTTAACTAGGGTAGGACAAACGATCACGACGAGGAAAGCTCCGGGCCTCCGTCCCTCATCACCGAGAACTTGAAAAACAGGATTGCTCAGCTCATCAGGACAAGCAGGCGTTTTCATTCGCCGATTCGTGAAATTGTTGCGGAACGTCTGCACTACGAAAAATAATAGTGCAAGACTGGTGCGACGGATGCTCACGGAAGAGCATCAGAATAAGCGCATTGTTGCTGCTTTGACATTTTGGTGCGTTTATCACCAAGAGGGCGACAATTCTTTGGACCAGAGAGCCACAGGAGGTGAAACAAGGTCTCAAATCGTCCCTGAGAGCTAGGGTCAATTTCATAGGTGGCATCATTCTCATTCACTGTCAAATACCATAAAATTAAAATAGACGTTAACTCGAAAAGTCTTAGCTACAGTACGAGGTGTGGCAATTTAATTCTCGGAATGGCCGCAGCGTGTCGCTGGGGTGTTGAGTCAGGCAAATCCATGTACCCAAGCACGTTTGGACATGTTCCAACTTGCGTTTACATGAGCCACAAACCAAATGAGTCCTTTCCCAAGCAACAGAAGAAGAAGCACATGTCCTTAGTATACTGTTGGCGGGAAAATGAGTGACGAAAATCTTGAGCAGTGGATGAACATCAGTTTTTTGTGAAGATTGGTAAAAGTGCTAGTGAAATGTTAGCCCTATTAACTGCGACTTAAGATTAATACGCTATGAATAAATCGGGTGTTTTCGCATGGCACAGGCGGTTCATGGAAGGGCGAGGAGAGGTGCAAGATGACCCAAAAAGTGGGCAGCCAAAAACGCGAAGGACAGATGCAAATATGGACAGAGTGCGAACTTTGGTGCGCTCAGATCGAAGATTAGGTGTGAGACTGATAACGGAAGAATTTAATATGAACAGGGACCAGTGCGACAGGTTATTACGGAGGATTTGGGAATGAGAAAATTTTCCACAAAGATGGGACCTCGATCCTTGACAGATGACCACAAACAACGTCGGCCTCTCATTTCGTCTGATCTCTTACATAATGCAGAGGTGTTTCATAGGGTCATTACCGGTGATGAAACGTGTTTTTTTCAATACGACCCGGAAAAACCCCAGAGCATAGAATTCACCTTGTCCGAAAAATCACGCATGTCTCGCTCGCAGTTCAAGACCATGCTTGTGTGTTTTTTCGATAATAAGGGGATAGTTCAGTATGAATTCATTGCGTAATGACAAACAGCGAATCAACTGTAATATTTTGAAGTGCTGACAAGGTTACGGGGATCTGTTCGGAGGGAAAGACCTGAACTCTGGCCTGACAAGTGGATTCTCCACGATGACAATGTCATTGCGCATGATGTGTTAAGATTTCGCGAGTTCCTGGCTAAGAAATTACCACAAAAATGGACCATCCATCTCATTCATCTGATTTACCCTCCCCCCGCAATATTTGGCTCTTTTCAAATTTAAAAAATACCCTGAAGGTACAAAGATATACTGAAATTCGTGACAGCCAAAGCATCATAACTTTTTTTTTAATACTAGTGGGGTAGGACTAAGTCCCTTGTACTGCGGCCACTTGTGACCTATTGTACCAGCACCGGATAATAGGTGAGGGTGATTGTCGAGCAACTGGTGGAGTAAAGATTGGCAGGGGAAACCGAAGTACTCGGAGAAAACCTGCCCCAGCGCCACTTTGTCAACCACAAATCCCACTTGACCAGACCCCGGGATCGAACCCAGGCCGCCGCGCTGGGAAGCCAGCGACTAACAGCTTGAGCTATGGCGCGGCCTAACGTGGCAACGTTACTGCGAGGTGTTCCGGGAAACGATTTTCAAAGCTGTTTCCGGCAGTGGCTCAACTGTCTCACGAAATACATAGCTTCACAAGGAGAGTATTTCGAAGGCGACAGCAGCCGCTGGTGCAGAGGCAAGAACATATCTTTCACAGGACCATTCCGGGAATTACATTGGGAAAGGAAAGGCGTCCTTCTGGTGGAATTCATGCCCAAGGGCCAAACCACCAACGTTGCGCCATACTGTGAAATTATGAAGTGGCTACGACGCGCCGCACAAAACCGCCTGCGAAACCAGCTATCGAAAGGAATGTTTCTGCTGTATGATAACGCGCGCCCGCATACTGCAACTAGCACTTCTGTGCTACTTGCTGACTTTGCCTGGGACGCCCCCCCTCCCCCCATTCACCGAACAGTACGGACCTTTCACTTTTTCACACACATGAAGCAGTTTTTGGGTAGCAATCGCTTGGTTAACATTGAAGTGAAGAAGATGGTTAACTTCAGTGAACTGGGGGCAGATTTCTACGATGCAGGCATACTGAAACTCCTCACACGTAAAGACTACCGCCTGAATCTTCATGTGAATTATATAGAAACATTATTTAAAGTCTGTAGTAATGATGTAAAGTAATTTTTAAGCCACAAACGGTATATTTACTATCTGGACGGCCTACTTATAGTTATTTACCATATTATTGATATTATGAACACTTGTAGATCATGAAAAGTTAAACAGTTATAGATCATCACTGCTATAAAAGAACTTCAGCAAGGCAAAGGCAGTTCAGTCCTCATCACCACAAGTCCGTAAGATCCACTTCAATAATATCATCTGATTTACGCTTTTGTGGACCGCCTCTGTGGTCTAGTGGTCAGAGTTCCTGGCTACAGATTCAGAGGTCCCGGGTTCGATTCCCGGCGCTTCAAGATTTTGTGAGAAGTAGTGGGTTTGGAACGGAGTCCACTCAACCTCGTGAGGATAATTGAGGAGCTACTTGAATGGAAATGTAGCGGCTCCGGTCTAGAAAACCGAAATTAACGCTCGTGGGGATTCGTTGCGCTGACCACGCGATACCCTCTGTCCACTAAAACATGGCACTAACTTCGCCGGAAAGCGGCGGTCGCTCGGTCGGTATAGTTCACTTGCGGACTACAGGCCACTGAGTTACGCTTTGGTCTGCGTGTGGCCTCTTTGACCTTTCTTTTGGGCAGTTTCTTGTGGAGAATTCCGTGGCAGGTGCTCAAATTATACAGTATTCATGAAACCCACTGGGGTCTATACATGGACGCCTCTTTTAAAGATTCAATGTGGTCGTGATATTCAGCTTTCTGGGAAGTAGGGGAAATTGTGACAGCGTTTATTACTGTGGCATATTTTCTCAAAGTAAGAAGTTTGGAGGCAGAGAAACAGCCATTGCTAGGAAATGGCCCGTACACACGCAGCAGAGGAACGCGTCATGTACGCTGTGACGTTACGCAACAATAGAAAATGTGTTGCAAGAGGCATTCTCAGTGGGTCCGCGCCACACTCGATGTCACGCAACTGTGCGGTAGACACATTTCTGCATTAGTGAATCAACACAACAGCAGAGGAAGCGACATTTTCTGTGGGTCCGCCCCAAGGCTTTTTTACGAGGGTCTCACGCAGCTAGAATTAGAACTGAGTCGAGTTCCGGAGTTGGCAGTTGCTGCGTAGAACTGAGAGAGTCGGCAGTCGGAGACGATTGAGATTAATGGCGAGAAAGGAATTAGACTGTGCAAAGAAGACTTCATATGTGATCTGAAGTTACTGTGGGACTGTTATAAATCCGTTGCCAGGATACGACTAGTGGAGAGTTTAGACCGAGGACACTAGTGTGTGCGGAGATTAGCGATAGCCCTGTAATTGAGTGTATAAGTGCAATAAATTGAATCATCATATCCAAAACCCGTCTATAAGTCACGCACACCCCCTAGACGTGACATTACGAATGTCTTGACGGAAGATTAGTGTTAGAACGAAGCATTGTTATAGTACAGACACAGTACATTTCATTGTTAATTTTATGTGTTTAATTGAGTGTAATAATGTAACTTTCAGATGAACAACTACTACAGTTTCAAAGAGAACAACCAAGAGCTTCATGAGGATGTACACCCGATGAATATGAGGTTCATAGGCGACGCTGAGGTACTGTCTGTCCTTCCATACCGCGAGCAAACTGGCAGGCGGATCATGATATACAAACTAGGTAGGTAATAATCTTACAAACAGTAAAATTGTAAACTTGTCCCCTGTGCTTAAGTAATTAAACACTACGCCATGAATGAGTATGGGGGAATGGATATATAGATCCACATTTCCTTGACCTCGGCACTACTGGTGGTGAGCGGTCAGCTTCACGCCCCGGCCGCTTTACTCACGGAGGAAGAGCCCTCGGTACCCACTGGATAAGAGGCTGGATGGCCCCCAGAGCTGGTGTGGACAACGTGGAGAAGAGAAAATTCTTTACCCTACCGGGACTCGAACACCTACCCCTCGGTCGTCTAGCCCGTAGCCAGTCGCTATATAGACTGCGCAATCCCGGCTCTAAGCAATAAAACCAGCTAAAAATATATGCTCTTCAGTTCGAGCACTATACCGCTGGTGTCTCTTCTTAATGTTCGGGATGAGGCCTTGCAATAAATGTCATGTTTAGATGGTAGATTAAGGATGTGTCTGGTAGTATTTACAAAAAAAAAGTATGTAACCGAATATTCAGAACACGGAAAAACGTGTAAGTCCGGAATGACTACGAAGTCACAAAGTACCAACGTAATTAGCTTGTTGGCCATGAATTCGAAGCATTGAAACTCGCGTTTAAAACTAAGACCTGTCCACTAAGGTTAAACTTTCAAATTTATACGAACAAATTTGATTTGATTTTCATTCTGGTCCATCACACTAACAATATCATGAAAAGTTAAACAGTTCCGTCTAGTGTGGAACTGTTTTAACTTTTCATGTTATACGAATAAAGTTGATGATAATAATTATAATACTATTAATACTAATAATACATGAGTAATATAGAAAATTCTCCTCGAGGACTACAGCCATTTCGTGGAGAGGCGGTTTGGGCGCCCCAATGACCCTGAGAGCTATGTTGGCGGGAGCGTATCACTTGGTGAGACAGGTAGAAGGATAGGGGCCAGACGAAGTGTAGTCCTTGGCCCTCCAGACAAAATTTAGTTACGAAACCACGGAGGACGTGGAGACCAGACCCACATAGGCATGTAGCGCCAGCAAGAAAGAGAAGAAGGGAATGTTGAAAATAATATCAAACTACGTATATGAAGCTATTGGAGGAATCCTGATTGTTATAGGCCGGCCCATTAAAAGAAAGTCAATCCTAATTAGGAGAAATATAGAAGCAACTCAGAATGGACTTATTCAGAAGAAATATTAAGGTTTAGTGATGATACTATTCACGGATATTTAGCTATAACAACGTCGCTGTTCGGAATTAACACGCACATTGCATCAACAGTTAACACGAAATGTCAAGCAAGACTGTATCTGTAACCACCGAGACCACTGGGAAGACCAAGGCGTAGGTGGGTGGACAGTATTAAAATGGATCTTAGAGAGATAGGATAGGATGGCATGGATTGGCTTAATCTGGCTCAGGATAGGGACCAGTGGAGGGCTCTTGTGAACACGGTAATGAACCTTCGGGTTCCATAAAATGCTAGGAAGTTCTTGAGTAGCTGCACAACTGGCGGTTTCTCAAGAAGGGCTCAGCTCCATAAGTGAGTCAGTTTCCAGGCCAGGATTCTATCTCTTGACTTTCTGAATACAGAGCAGGCTTGCTAGTCTGTGAACCCCGACGTTCGGTTACACAAGCTGTACTGAAAGATACAGTACTTCAGATACACAGACCAAATTGATTGTCATTAGGAATTTGACACCGTGTAGTATGGTAGATACATATCAACTTTTCGGAGAAACCTGCTACCTCAGTCTTCAGGGTACAACAGCTCTGAAATATTTATAAGTATCCACCAGACAACACGGCGTCACATCGCAGAAGACAGTAGGTACAAGTATTTATAGTTACAGCCTTGAGATCCTAAATAACATATGTAAAATATTGTGGCGTGCCGCCTAAAAGCCTGAATATAGAAGTCGGAAAATAACAGAGACGTCCATTGCCGTGCAACGGCTCAATAAGCGTTGTTCACGCAACAAACAATATGCTAGAGATAAAATCAACATGTTATCTAAAAATGAAAATACATTTTCGCGGCAACGAGTAGACCAGCTACTGATACACTATCTAACACGGGAAACGAAACCATTGAAGAAGGTGTCTCCTAGTCCGTCCGACTATAGAAGATAGATCAGAGGAGACCAGAACGGAGGTCAGACCAGAGTAGAATCGAGAATAGGTTAGATCAGAGGAGACCAGAGCGGAGGACAGACCAGATGAGTATCTACGACAGATCAGAGAACAGGTCAGGAAACAGATCAGAGGCGAACAGAGCGGAGCCGAGATCAGAGAGAAACCAGCTCAGCCAAGAACCAGAAGACGAAACGTGAGAGACGTCGGACTAGTCACGTCGCATCGTCTGGAAGACGTTACATCAGAGTGCTGCTAAATGTAAATGTAAATGTAAATGTAAATGTAAACGACTTGTCCAGTAAACAGCTTCGTCTAATCCGGAACCCAATAATTTCCTGTCGCGTTACCGGGATACGTGACAATATAAAGTGTAATTCTTAACATTCTTTTTACTTTATATCATGTATCGAAGCCGTGGATCTGACCACTCACCCGAGTTTCACCTCCACCCTTCTCACACATATTTATTATGTGGTGCTTACTCAATCAAACCCAGGAGCAGCTTCATCTTTTCATTATTGACGTTATATATAATGAGCGAGTTATTAAGATAATTTATTAAATTATATTCAGCCTTTTTTTGTGATATTAGGATAGTACAGAATGGAAACGTACCCGAAGTTAATTTCGCCCGAGGACCTGCTTAATGTAGACACGCATCGCGCCTCTATACTTTCGGAAATAAAAAAAAAGTGGAAGGACAGTGTAACCTTGCAGCGAGATACTTTGCCTCGGTCTTCGTTTCATTCCGTGGGAGAACAGCTGTTCAATCGCCACTTGCTAAAATAATTGCTTTGAAGTCGGAGGCCGGGATATTGTGTGGCGACCAAAGAGGCCGCTGCCCATGGCCACAGATAATTAAAATATAAGTCACATGATTCGTTTTGGTTTCCTTTGAGCTTTTTTCTGATTAATATGTTAGTCTCCTGAACCTGCTGAAATATGGAGATAAGTCGAACTCTTTATGCAATATATTAAATCAGCCGATCAAAGTGGCCACCCGGTTTGACACTTTCATTCATTCATCAGTAATCTGTCAAGACGACAGGTCCACAGTCTCTTCCAAAACAGTTCCTCCACTTGATGCGGTCTAGAGCTTTCTCCTTAAAATGAAATTTGCAATATATACTTATATATATATATATATATATATATATTTGCAATATATTTTATGCAATATATTAAATCAGCCGATCAAAGTGGGCACCCGGTCTGACACAAGCACGCTCAAACATTGGGATCGTTGAATCGAATCTCACTCGAGACATGCATGTCTGGTCGCGTTTTTCCTGTGTTGGTTATGTTGTCCTGTGTACGTAGCGGCCTTGCGATAGGGCTGATCATCCATGCAAGGAATCTTACCAACTGTCTATAAGAGCCATAGTTACATATTCATCCTGATGGGAGGCAGGCCAGAGGACCTAATACGATCTGTAGAAGAAGAAGAAGAAGAAGAAGAAGAAGAAGAATGAGAAGGTGAAGCCGTCCATATGCTTAACTAATTAAGCACTACGCCATGAAGGTCCATGGGGGAGTGGATGTATAGATCCACATTTTCTTGTCCTCGGCACTAGTTGGAGATGAGTGGTCGGTTTCACGCCCCGCTCGCTTTACCTCCGAGGAAGACCTCCCGGTACCTATTGTACAGGAGGTTGGGTGGACCCCAGAGCCGGTCTGGACGACACGGAAAAGTGAAATTTCTTTACACTACTGGGATTCGAACTCCGACCTCTCGGTCGTCCAGCCCGTAGCCAGTCCCTATACCGACCGTGCTAATCCCTGCTCATAGAAGAAGAAGAAGAAGAAGAAGCAGCAGCCAATGAGTCGGCACTTAGAAGAGCTTATTGAAACGCATTTACCTATTTTCTACAACATTCGACGCATTTCTGAATAATGACACCGGCTGTCACATATTCCAGGCCCTGAATATACAGTATGAAGATTAGTTACACCTCTTCGGATCATTTGAGTAAATATGAATTTTTAATGTTATGGATTTTACAAGGCCGTGAAGAGTTACGTAAATCTCAGGATTACGTATGTAATTATTTATGACAGAAGGAGACATAAATGTTATTGTACTCTGAAGCATTCTTTTTTTATACGTAAAGCGAAGATTTCGAAGCAAACATTGGGAAACTACATAGAAGAGACAGCACAAAGAGAGGTACCGAAGTTGTCTTAAGACTAGTCTCTCGCATTGTGAGGATGTTTATTTAAATATTTGTTGTCTTTTGTTCAAACAATCTTCCATTTCGACCACCACACGGCCGTGACTATTTTTGACGCATTGCAAACTTCTTCAACTTTCATACGAGTGTAGATATTTCCATTGAACATTCTTCAATGTCAGGATAAAATGACATACATGATGTTCCTAAGGCTACTCCTCTGACTTCAGGTGCAGGTCTCTTCGCCTGCGGATTTCTTATACTTTTCCTTCTACCCTGAAGATGGAGGCGATACGTTCTTCCGAAACGTCGGTTAACACCACATATACACGGTGCCAAATCCCAGAAGACTGCTTTCTTCTAAGACATGAACTGTTTTCGCCCGTTAAGCATTGGGATCGTGGGTTAGAATCCCACTTGAGGCATGGATGTATGTGTTTTTCTGTGTTTGTGCTGTCCTGTGTACAGGTAGTGGCCTTGCGACTAGCTGATACCCCGTCCAAAGAGTTCTACCGACTGTGTAAAACATCAAGAAAATGAAAAAGCGGCCAAGGCCCAAAAAATAACTTTAGAGCCATAGATTAATTGTTGCCTCCTTTAACATCAAAGTGGATATTTGTAACCAGTAGTGCCGGATCACGTTAATGAATAATCGTTATCAGCTGTCTAACTCGTAGAGGAGATAAATAAAATTTT